GCAGCACAGGGGGAGTGGATACATAATGATAATAACTGATAGGAGGAGGGGTTACGGGGAATGCAGTGGCGGGGCTGGGCGTGGGGTGGTTTGGAATGACCAGTAGGGAGGGAAAGGGGATCTTGGGAGTAAATAATGAGGGTGTGAATGGAACAGCGCACTAGAACTGATTGGGATTGCACAACTAATTTTAAAGGCAATTTAATCATCGTGGGTGAGGGGTGGAGAGGAGATGTTCTAAGATTGATGTGGTGGTGACTGGACAAGTCCCCTTGAAAATGATTGAAACTATGGAACTATTCAATGGTAGATGATTAATTTATGTGCCAATAAAACTGTTTTGGGGGAAAAGTTGAATCTGAAGTATCATAATGACTGGGAAACCTCAGTTTTCATATTGTGTGCCCTTTCAAGATGGGCTGGGAAAGGGAGCAATGTTTAGCATAAGGACGTGGTGTCTTTGACTACAGATGCTTTTCCTTAGGAAGGTGTGCTCACTAGTCTTCAGAGGCTCTGATAATTTCTCACAGGGCACCAATGCTCTGCACACCCTGCGGGGGCATTTTCATATTCAACCTCTATTTTTAAGATTATAATAGGAAGTTGAAAAGTGCTAAGAACTCTAATAGGTGTTTTGCATAATTTACAGTATTTATTCTTTATAGCAACACTGAAGTGTGTACTATGATCCTCAATTTAAGACAAGTAATGGAAGGCTGGGCAGAACAAAGGAACTCCCACAAAGCCCGAGGTTGAGAAGTAGGACTGAGATCCAGAGTACTAAGTCTATTAGCATTAAAGGCGCACTCTTTTTGTCAAGACCCTACATTGCATGACCGTGAAGTTGTTACTGTATAAGGAAGAATAGGAATAAGGAAGAATAGGTAACGCCTGAAAGCAGCCATGTCAGTGGGAGGCTCTGGTTCTAAGGCACTTACAGGGCTTCCTAAAAGTATCAAAGAGAGTGGCAACTCCCTTTTGCGGCAGTCTCGTACTTCCAAGACTTTGAAATGAGAAGAAATATTTTATTTTATTTTCACAAATAACAATAATTACTTCTCTTAAAAGTAGCACTCAAATGGCCAGATCATCCAACTCAGAGGTTGCTTCCAATTAAGTTACTGGATGCAGCAGGGGCTAAATGCAATTTGTTGAAGAGGTAGGTACCAAATGGGGCAAAGACAGGAAGAAAGCAATTATTTCTCATAGAAAATAGTTCATGATGGCAGTGGAGAATATAATTAGAAAAAAAAAAAGAATACTTTGGGAGCAAGGTAGGAATTGGAAACACAAAGCTATTTTGGTAAGATAAGAACTGGGAAAACAAAGGCTGCTTGGCTGCAGTGGACCGAGGAGAGCGGTGGAGCAAGGGGCAGGGACTCACCTGTAGCACACATTTTCCGTACATGGGTTATGCACTCTGACAATGACAAAGACGTGCTGAAAGTGAGACCGGATGCTTTTCGGAGTAAAAGGAAGTGCTCCGGGCTCTTGGAAGACAATGGTAACGATGTCATTTCCTATGTGCCTTTTCCTTAGAAGCTGTAGTCAAGAAAGTGAACATATGCACACATGAGTTATAATTAAGATTTTCCTCAAAACAAATGCCACTACCGGTAGTTCATACATCTTTCAATTTAGAAGTTATTCAGAAAAGTAGAGTTCTGAAAAATATATATAGACAGATATATAAATGACCTTTTAATTTAGAGGAGGTATGTAGAAGAGTAGAATAATTCCCCAGTAGCTAATCAGTCTAACTTTGGTACAAGAAATATAAGCTGCATCCAAAAGACTGATGGAAAGAAAATCAAATATTTAAGTTTATATTTCACTTTAAAATTCAATTTGTGGCAACATATGTACAAATGTGCTTATTATAATTGATGTATCGATTGTTAAAAGAGCTGTAAGAGCCCCCAATAAAATGTAAGAAAAAAACTCAACTGTGCTCCCTTCCTATTCATCTAAATCCTATCCAATGCCTTCTTTTTTCACTCCTAACATAATCGCACTTTAGAGTTCAAAGCATTTTAGAAAATGTTATAGTTTAAGCTCTTCCATTTTTGAGGAGACTGAACGCAAAGGTAGTTACAGATCTGCTGAAAATTCTAGACTATTAAATTATAAAGCCCAATCCTAACTTGTACATTTTGTGCTCCTGTAATAACACTCATTTTCACAGGAAAAATTATAGAAATTATTTTGGTAACCAATACATTGGAATATATTAATCAAAATGTGACACTTTAAATATAATTCAGAAAAATAGAATTCTACTAGAGCAATAACTAGAAAATCCAGTCTATAATCTTATAAATCACAAACATAACAGGAAGAAGGAACCCCACAGCAGTAACATTTTAACCAAGTCTTTACTTTCAATAATCTCTCTGACAGGAATCCATCCATTTCTCCATCCATTTCTCCTAGACCAGTGACTCTCATCCTTCCCAATGCCGTGACCCTTTAATACAGTTCCTCATGTTGTGGCGACCAACCCACCGCTCCCCCCACAACCATAAAATTATTTTCGTTGCTACTTCATAACTGTAATTGTGCTACTGCTATGAATTGGGCGGCCACTGTGAAAGGGTTGTTCGACGCCCGGGTTAAGAACCGCTGTAAACTAGAGTATCAAGCTTAGATATTGTTTCATCTGAAAGTAACCTATCAATACTGCAATGGTGTTCCACACATCAGCCTACGCCTGCACTGACTGACACAGAAGTCATAGTCCGTGCTACATGCTAATCTACTTAACTCTATCAGGCCATACCTTCGCAAGAGCAGGTTTTGATTTCTTACTTTCTCGTGAAGGGCCCAGCACTCAATTTACTAAATAAATATGAAATAAATATATGTTTTAATATATTTTTGAATATGTTTGAATAAAACTACATTTTTGAATATGTTTGAATAAAAACTACATTTTTGAATATGTTTGAATAAAACTACATGAATATCGTCATCAGCTCTTCCCTCTGATTATATCACTAATAGGCCCACATATGCATATGAGACACTATACGTATATGCAAGCGAAGACATTGTATCTATGCTCAAAAACTCTTCAATTTTAACAGATGCGATCATCTTTATAAGAGTTGCTAATATGAAAAACTCCAATTGGAAAGAAAGCAGACCATAACAGATAAAATGACCGAGTGTCACATTTTAACCTAATGGCATCTGTAGTAATCCACCCTACAATGTACTCTGAATGATCGCAAGGCCATCCCTGGTCGAGTCGTTGTTGCTGTTGTTTTAATTGTTTTGATTTTATGTTTTCTGTATATGAAATCCCGGATAGGTATATCTAGAGAGACAATAGTTTCCTAGGGGCATGACAGGGGAGGTTGGGGGAAATAAAGAGCTAACAACAAGTATGAGAAAAAAAAAAAGTCCTAAAATTGATTTGCTTTGATGATTGCAAAGCTCTTTTTAATACTATTGAGCTGTTAAATTGTGTGACATGTGAATTACATGTCAATAGAAGAAGAAGAACAACAAACGTTGTTGATATAACTGCAGGAAATCTCAGGTAGTTTATCTCTTTACTAGCAATAACAAAGCAAAGATAACCACTTCCTGTCATCGTTTAGATCTGGCACCTATGGAACATAAATACCGGTAGCTTCACTATAAAGAACCTTCACTTTTAAAGCCTTCTGAAACAGGGTAACAGAAAGGACATCATGGCCAGACCCCTGACTCGTGATTTAGCATGGTAAAAGCGCTGGGAAGTGGGGGTGAAATGTGCATCCTTCCAGAGTTCTTTACATGTCAGTTAAATCCCAAATCTGTATGTTGGAAAATCCCTACTGAGTTCCCATAGGTAAAATTTTGTACAAAAAGCCCCTTATTGTCTGAGTTTTGAAATATCTATAGCATACATCATTCATCAGAGCCAATGAACTATCTGTAGCCTAAAGAAGTCTTCACACAGGAATTCTGAGATTTCCTGCAGGAAAACTAAGTTGACAATGGTCAAGGCCAGGACGTGAGTCCGTGGCTCCTCCTGGCCTGGTGGACGGCGGGTTGTTACTTTGTGCCTGCCAGCTTCTCAATCATGCACCTAGGGCTTAGGCTGACTCAGGAGCACACCTTTTTGGTTGCCATTGCTGTAGTAGCACATTGGAAAGCTACCCATTCTTTTCCAATTTCTTTTCTTCTGGAAGAAAAAAGTTGGACCCTCTTCTCTCCTGCATCATAGGAATATTTAAAATGCATGTTGAAGGAAACTGGTAACCTTGACAACAGTCCAAAGTGGTTTTTTTTTTTCCTTTTTAAGTATATTCTTTCCTTTTGTTTAATGGGCCAAAATGTTTATAGGATAGTTTTGTTAACCCAACCATGGTCACACAGTATGCTTTGCAGGGGGGAAAAGAACAAAACAGCGAGGGAAGGGATTCATTAAGAAATATAAAACCTATTATTTTCTGAGTTTGAGTTTCAAAACAGTTGTATTGTTGTGAACACATTTGCCAAGTCAATATTTTAGATATGCAATTTGGTAATACTTATTACATTATTACATTAATCATATTATGTAACCATAGACCATAATAAAAAATAAAGCATAAATCTATTTGAAGGACAATAAAATAAAAATTAACCCTTTGGTCAATATTTATTGAATTTTAAAAATATGTATGCCAAGCATTAAATTGCTTAAATAATTCCTTGATAAAGTTGTTTCCTATAGCATTTAGTTATGTTTTTTATATAACCAATGATACTCTGCATAGAGCCCAGAAGTGGAAGAGGCAAAGGTGAGGCAAAGTAAACAAATGTAATCCAACAATCATGAGGAGAAATATGTCCAGTTACCAACATCTCTCTGGCATTAAAACCTTTGTGATATTTTTAAAATGCCTTCATCTAAGGCTGTCAGTCTTTTCTCTACTACTCATAACACTTTCAGCTCCAAGAGGGGAAAAAAGCTGAGTGTATTCAACTACAAGAGTGAATTAATATGTAATGTATTACATATTCAATATGTAATGTATTACACAGTCAATTCTACTGGATTTCCAACACCTGATTTATACTGTGAAACAGGAATAAGCTCTTGTTATGACAAGGAAAGTGAAAATGTGATTCTTCACCCACTCCCACAGGCAAAGCTTACAGGTGCTACAGAAATAGCCACTTTCAGATCTATTCTCAGTTCCTTGAGCAGACTTTTTTTTAAATCATTTGATTGGGGGCTCATACAACTCTTACCACAATGCATACATACATCCATTGTGTAAAGCACATTTGTACATTCATTGCCCTCATCATTCTCAAAACATTTGCTCTCCACTTAAGCCCCGGGCATCAGCTCCTCATTTTCCCCTCCCTCCCCGCTCCCCCCTCCCTCATGAACCCTTGATACTTTATAAATTATTATTTTGTCATATCTTACACTGTCTGAAGTCTCCCTTCACCCACTTTTCTGTTGTCCGTCCCCCAGGGAGGCGGTCATATGTTGATCCTTGTCATCGGTTCCCCCTATCTGAAGCAGACTTAAGGGTTTTGCAGGACCAGTTTTGATTCTTGTGCAACAACCAGAAGCAAATGAAACAAACCACTGTCGGGCAGACACATTTAGCTGGATTAAGTAATGCATACAGTTCACCTGGGCTGTACCTATTCCCTTCCACATACAGAGCACAATTCATTTGTAATAATATTTTTTAACTTAATAAAAAATAATTATGGAGTGGGGTGGGGGAATCAGGCACTGGAAGCAGCAGCTTTCTCTGAGTGAAGCTAAAGGAAGAGAGCTAATTTGAAGCCAGAGAAGGCTGGTCAGGGTCTTTTATTTTTAGAAAGAGGCAACATCTGAAATTTATCTAGCTTTGGCCAAAGAGAAAATTGCATTATTTAATGATTATCTTTCAAGGTTGAAAATTCTAAAAGATGAACTCAGAACTTAGTAAAAAAATTTAATTATATTCCATCAAATCAATCACAAGGTCTAGTCCTTGGTCCTTAGATTGTAATCTTCTCATTGAGTTTCTATACATGGAAGAGGTTGAACTAAAGTAAAACCAGTAATTCTCGAATGTAATATCTAATGTAATCTTTAGATAACTCTATAGGAGTCTGATACCCTGCCCAACAGAGCAGTTCCAACTTTTAGCAAGTATTAAAAATAGAGAAGTTTACTATGTGCTAGGCTCTGTGCTTCCTTATCTATTTAATAGACCGAAGTTTGAAGGAAGAGTTTTCTGCCAAAGTGTAAGTTGAAAACCACCAGACCAGTTAATTTGTAAAATTGTTTCCACTGATAACATCCCTGATCCTGTAAACAAGAATTGTCTACAGAGTATGCAAAGTAGAACCTCACCAGGAGTCAGTGCTGGGAAAGTGGTTTTAACTGCCAAACTGGTTCTAATGGAGCACGGCTTCTTATCATTCCCTGAGTCTGCTTGGTTTCCCTTTATTAATGTTAGAGATATTCCATAGATTAAACTTTGGTGAACTCTCGAAAAATGCTTAATCTTTCTTGGAATCAGCTTTCAGCTGGGTTTATTATGAGAACAAACATAAGAAATGAGATCTAATGTACACAAGTCTGGGCCACTCAAATAGTTCAGAAACAGTGGGGCTAATGAGGCCAAGGTTACAGGTAGAGTTCAGATATAGATAAGTGAACTTTGCTAACTTCTGTGCTTTCAAACTGTATTCACTAATTCAGCTGGTCCTTCAGAAACACTGCCCTCAAGTCAACTCTGACTCACAGAGGACAGGACGGAATTGCCACTGTGGGTTTTAGAGACTGTAACTCATTAGAGAAATAGAAAGCTTTATCTTTCTCTCCGTGGTGGTGTTGAACTGATGACCTTTTGGTTAGCAGCCCAATATATAACCACTATGTCATCTTGATTCTGACATAATTTGTGGGCACAAATGTGGTAAGTTAGAGATTTGATAAGAGTTCACGAGTTAGTACAACTCACAGCAAATTTGAAAAGTACATGTAGCAAGATCACACAAGGGCATCATTCATCTACAAACAGAACATTCTCTGACAACTCATGAGCAGCAAAATATTGGTAATTTAAATGATCAAGGAAAAATAATATTACAGAATTAGTGATTCCCCTCTCGTCTTTAAAATATTTAACGTTTACATCCGTTTCATCAGAATACTTTTTTCTTTTTTTTTT